GGTAACTGGTGAGTGATCTCTCCCTGTCCTTTATCTCGACCCATAAGCCTTTTGTTGTATTTTCTTCCCCCTGACCAGCTGAGGAGGGAGGTGATAGAGTGGCTTTGGTGCACACCTGGCATCCAGCCGGGGTCAACCCACCACACCAGACTAAAATTATTCTGCTTAGATTAAATGGGGGTCTCTCAAATTTATCAAACAAAACCTCTTCAAGAGTGTGTGATTTCTAGCAATTGAATATGATAACGAGCTGTGTAAGCTCAGAGACAGATACGTCTCCCATCAGATATGCCACATGGAAGATTTTTATCTTATTTTAAAGAAAGTTATGCAAGATCCATTTCTTTGCAGAAATCCTTGGTTTCCATCTTTCCCCTTTAGTGGCACCTATGTTCCAATTCCATCTGGAAAGGAATGAAAGCGCTGAAGCCCTTGCTGTGTTTTGCGTTCCTTTCTTTTTCTGCATCCTTAAGAAAGCTCCTTGCTCTGCAGTGTAACCAACACTCCACCTTGAACTGATGGCATTAAAAGTGAAAGTTGATTAGGAGAGGTTTCCTGCAACTCCCCAATAGGACGGCATTGCACCTTCTAAGAAATGCATTAGTATCTTATGCAGTAACAGACCAACTGAAAATTAGTGTTTAGACATTAGCCTAGAAACTGTACCCATTGTACAGGGTGTCTGTAAATAGATTAGATCCACCTATATATAGGATTAGTTTGCAGATTGTCAATCAGAGCTTCACTGCCAATGAATTTAAGTGAGAGTGCGGCACTTTACACGTGCAATTACTATACCATTACTGACTATCAGAACACCTCTAAGGATGTTAGATATGGCTCTGTTGTCACGCTCAGTTTACAGTAAGGAAACTGAAGCACAAATTAGTTGATTCAATCAAGGTCACTGAAGTAGCATAATTGAGGCATCTCAAGTCCAAGGATCTCTCCACTGAGTCACACTGTCTCTTTTATATTCTCTGAAATTGTACAAGTAATGCAGGAAGAGTTTAAGGTTTTCCTGCTGGAGAACACTTGGTTAGTTCTGGGCATGCACAGATCATTAAGGTGAGGGTGCTATGGGAGAGCTTTTCCTGCAAGGCTAAGTTGACAGGGTGGCACCGCAGCAGTTGCCGTGACAATGGCTGAATCTTTGCAGTGACACTACACACACTTCAAATGAAAACCTGTGCAAGTCTGAAAACACCATCCAATGCTGTAAGAAATCTGACGAGATCCCAAATCTTCTCCTCATCTCCAATTAAAAAGAGCAGTGTGCATGCAGAAGGGAACACAGACTGACTGTGAAAGATTTCACCTCTGCCAGAACTCAAATACGAAAGCACAATGCAGAAGAATTTTTCTGTGAACTTTATAATTTTTGAAAACTACAAGTACTACTCACTATAGACAGGGAGCAATACAGTATTCAGGAGAAGACTGACTATCAGTAAAGACAAAAAACCCCCTGAACTCATTCCCTGCCCTCAGACTCCGATTCATTGGAACACCGAAGAAATACAGAGATGCCAGGGAAGGGAAAAGGTTAGTGATAAGTACCTAATGCATTTTATAAGTCCTTACAGTCACATCTAGTGCAGGCAATTTGCAAATGAAGTTGTAAAGCAAGGGAGCATGCACTCACCTCTCTATGGAGTTACAATCATCTAACACCTAATCAGATGGGCTTCTACAAGATTCCACCCATTTAGCAGCTTTATGTAAAAGCTGGTTATATCCACTATTGACTACTAGGTAACAACAAGAACTGACACATCTATTATTTCAATTAACTGAATACAAAAGAAAGATCGTCATGATATGCTCATGTCCCAAGTTCCTTAAAAGCCTTCAGCTCCCAGGCTACTTGTTATTTCCAAAAGCACAAACATTAGCATTACCTTTTGCTGCTTCAGACCGCTTAGGCAAATCAAGTGTATCAAAATTCCTGTCCAAATCGCCATTCTTCTTTCCTGTGCAAAAAAATAAGACAACAGATGGAAAAGACAGTCAGCATACTGACAGGTAAGCTACTGTCATGTGCATCTACAAGACGAAAGAAGATATAGACTCAGAATATAAATCACAGACTATTACCCGTAGTTGTACATATCTGACTCACAATCCAGCTGCATAGCTGTGGTTTTAGCATGAGCAACTGAGTATCAAAAATCCGTGCTACTTTCAGGTTGATCGACAAACTTGCTTAGCACTAGCATTTCAGTGGGTCTTAAGAGTGCTTCAAATCTTGGAAAATTGTGCCATTTCTCTTCTTGGCAAAGCTGTGCCCCTCTCTCAGAATCCCAGTATTTACTTGTTATTTTCACAGAGGAATTCTGATCTGAAGCTTAGCTGAAACAGAAACTGAGCAGCAGAGCAATATACAACAGGCTTGCTTTGCAGCCTCTATTCTCATTGTGACTATCAGGCAGGAAGGCCTAGATTTAATATATCGTACAGACAGCAGCCAACAACTTAACCTTGAATTGCCCTACAATCAATAAAGTGCCATTTTGACTATTTATTAGAAACTAATGGAAACAATTCCATACTTTTTCTAAGAGAGAGTTTCAAACCATTGCAACAGCTTTAATTTATATAATCTTTCACAGAAAGCAGAACAAAACCTGGACTTTAGTTTTAGTTAGGTTGGGAATTCAAGGTTATGTAAACAGCTGGGGAGGGGAGGGTTAATTTTCATCCTCTCCCCGCAAGGAGCCACACTGCCTTGGGTAAGCCTGCATAGATGCTGTGGGGTAAGCAGGCATCTTGCCATCAGAGAAGTACTGACAGCAGCCAGAGAGATCTGAAGTGCGGCAATCTGCAGGCTTCTGAGGACAGCAGTGTGCAATTTAGCTTTCCCAAATTATTTTGAGGGGGAAAATGAAGTTATTTAGTCCCTCTCCCTCAAGAGCAAGGGAGCCAGGTGCGATGGGATGAATTCAGAACAACACAATTTAAGCTGCCAGAGGTGGCTTCTGAACAGACACTCTACCAGGCTGCTAGCAGAGGTTTACAGGAAGGGCTGAAAGCTCCACCAGTCAGGATGCTTAAAAGCAAACAGGAAAATGGTCTTTGAAAATGTAACATGCAGATTAGTCTGACTCTTGGCTGGGAATAGGTCACGAAATGGGAAAGGCCAATCCCTGCCCTGTTATAGCAGGGAGCTGGTACAGCTTCTGCACAGTGAATTCAATGGGTCAACTCTATCTTTCCTCTTGCCAAAAGGATAAACGTATGCAGTACTATACAGAGAAGAAATATAGCTTTAAAATACCAGTATGAATATTTAGGAATAACGTTAAGAGGAAAAAAACACCACTCAGATAGTATCCCATACCCTCCCTTTCTTTGGAAATACCATACACTGTTGTTTTGAAATGCCAACACAGAATACCAGCCAACTTGAACTACTGTGCAAAACAGAACATGCATCTAGTTATTCTCTTCATCTGAAGTAGCTTGCTTAATTACAGAGTATGAAAAAGCCCATCCGAGCTGCCAAAAGGTCATGCAGCCAGGTACCATGCCGGTCCTTTGAAAGGTTTCTTTTCTGAAGGAAGGGACAGGAATTAGCTGCATTTTGCAGCCCTCCATCAAGTTTTCACTTCATGAACGCACCAGAAACACGTTGCTTGGGGAACCAAATACCAGAAGGAAAAAACACTGTGCATCACCAAAGGACACTGCACTTTATAATAGCAGCTGAACCCAGTTACTGGCTGCAAACCCTTGTTGACCCTTAGAGCATTGACAGGAAAAAGCAGGGCAGAGGAAGAAAAGGAAGGAAGCCAGTGTTTAGGAAAGATTACAGACTTAAGGCAGACCAATAAATGTGACTCCATCTTGTCTACAAGTAGGACGTGCTGTTTTTTCACATGACCTCGAATTTCGCATCTCTAGCATTTGCTAGTTTAAACCTCAGAACATTTATTCAGAGCGCCAGACCTTATTCAATACAACTACTCATTTCAGAAGTTCTCTCTATAATTTAAAAGTTGGGGTTTGGTACTTCTATTAGCCCCGCAGAACCAAGATGGCACAGAGTTCCCTCCTTTCCAGTGCGCTGTTTGGTGAGCAGTATGTATTTGTGCACAACTTCTTAAGGAAGAGATTGTTCAGCAGAGCACTGTTGGCTGCTACATCTTTAGACCTAGCAGTGCAGAAGCAGCTGCCTATTTAATAAACGATCTTTCATTAAGACAGCAATGCTCCACCTGTGCTCTGTGGGCTTCAGTTGCTGTCTCTCAATTTTGGGGCCAGACTACAAATATTGGCTGTCTTCTATGAAGCTCTTGCTAGTTTGTCTCTCAGGCCTCCAAGAAACTAACCCACTTCGCAGGAAAAAACACATCTGTTCAACCCAGAAGCTGCCAGCTGTTTACAAATGGACGCAATTCAGAACACAAGGGCTCTGACCAAGGGGATTTCAACTCTACAAACTAGCTTAATCAAATTGAGCAAGGGCCAGGTTCAGAAATACCCAAGGCACCTACATTTTCCAGGGCTTTCCTACAAAGAGAAGGTGACCAAGCTGTAAGAAGACTCAAGAAGAAACCCATCTAAAAGGCAAAGGTTTCAATCTGTGGCCCAGCTGGTATTTTTCCCATTTGATTTTCACAGGACCCAAAAATACTGGTTTGGCATTTCTGAAAAGGTGACCAAATTTAGCAAGTTCAAGAGCCTACCAGTTACAAAGCTCTCAGTCATCCCCTGGCCTCACTGATATCATAAGAAAACCAGCTTCACTGACAGCTTCTGTATCTCTGAACATCCCCTCTGTCACTCAAGCCTGTCAGTAGTGCTGGTGCACAGGGTTGCTGAAATGAGCACACTAGCAGTAGCAAAGAAGTTTAAGACCCTGTTTTTGTACATCTCAATTTCTGCCATTCTATGCATCTCCCTGCTCCCCCAGTTTTCCAGCCTGAGGTAAGCCAGAGAAAAGACGATGCTTTTGGATCAGAAGCATGGCTCCAAACTTTGCCAAGACAGCCAGCTTTGAACATGCCTGCTGACAGGTCTGTTTTATGAGACCTGGCTGTAGGAATTGGCACAGCACTCTGGTTTGGGAAAACTGCCTGACATGAGACTTGCTTGCGCAAGATGCAATTTACAGTCTGAAACAGTGGGATTAAAATTCTTTCCCTCTCCCTCCACCCACTACTTTTCATTATGTAAGAAACAACCAAAACATGACCTTTGGCATTTTCAATCTGTCAGAAACTCAGGACAGACTTTGAAGTGTGACCCAGCATTATTAACCACTAATGTTGTTGTTGCTCTTCCTCAAATGTCCTTTTGCTTTACCGAATAATCAAAACAGCTATTCAGCTAGACCATTTTTGCTAAAGGATTAATTCCCAAATGCTTTCTTTCTGGTTTAAAAAAAAAAAAAAAAAAAGTTGAAGGGAACCAGATTCTTCACAACACGCTCCCCCAACAGTCGATACTGTGTTGGTTAACATACCCACTGAACCGGACTGCAGCGGAGCGACAGAAAGCAAGGGCTGAGCCAATTGAAAGTAATGTCTTGCCAACATGCCCATCCTCCATAAGCTCACTAGTCACAGGCTGAAATCAGTGTCTCGCAGCACACTACTGAGCACCATTTGTTGGGGAGAACAATTAGATCCCCCCCCCAACATTTCTTCTTTGGCTCACTGATCTGAAGCAAGTGTCACAAACTGAAAATGACCCTGCCTTTACCCCCGCGTCAGTCTCAGTGACACAATGGAAGTCTCCAGGGCACTCACAGCCTAACAACTTCCCAGATGAGAAGCAAGGGAGGGAAACTTTAGCCTCAGCCTTGTGTATTCCAATTGCAATTTTACTTGTGCTGGGACGAGAAACTAAAGGGCATATCCCCCGAGGCATTTACTAGCTTCATCTAGCTAGTCGGAATGCCAGTAATAATGATGCAGCAGCCCAGGCATGTGTGCCCAAGCAGACAAAATACCAAGGATCCCTCAGAATACACGTCCAAGCTGCTGAGTCTTCATGGCTACTGCTACCCAAACCAAGCTAGCAAAGGCGTACTTTGATGTCATGGGGCTGGTGAGGCAACCTGCACACTTAGGTGTCCCCTCTTTCATGGGGTTATCAGGCCAGCTGCAAATCAATTCCCTTACTACACTTACACCAGGAATGAATAAAACTTGGTCTTTTTTACCCTCAGTGTGGGAAAACCAAACTGCAAATGCTCACTCAGAGGATTTCCATGCCTACTGAAATGAACAGGAGGATGCACTGGGAGAGCAGAGGAGAAGGTGAATGAACAAGACCTTGATCTCAGCTCTTAGCCTTGCATGTAAAAAGCTGAACAAAGCGTATTATGGCGATGATGAAAAGAAAGTATTGCAAAGACTCACCTTGATTGAACCATTCCTCTAATTACCAGAAAAGCAGAAAAAGAAAAACAAAAATTTACAGGAAGGCAGGCAGTACAAAGGAACAGTCACAAAGAGGCAGAAATTCACAGAATAGGTTCAAAAACTGAGTATTACAAGAATACTACAGAACTTTCATCAATTAAAAAAACAAACCAAAACAAGATATTCCACTTTCTCCCTTTTGTTCCTGCGGAAAAAACCCAGATCTTTCTCGGCGTAGCCTTTTTTTTCCTCCTCTTTTCATTAAATGAAAAGGTGGTCACAGAATTGAGGGGACAGAAGGGTGACTAGCCCTTTGCAGAGATGTTTGAAATGTTTGAAAATGACCATGAAATAAAATAAAACAAACATGGAAACACTGCAAGATTAAGTGAACAAGAGGGGGAGAGAATTGATCTATTTTAAAGCCCTAGACTGAGAAAATTAACGCAGGTTCAACCAGTTATTCACATAAATTCAACACTGAGAAAAGGAGGTTTCTTTTCATGACTTTAAAAGCACATTTATTAATGGATTTTTTTTTTTTTAACACTACAGTTGCATGTTCCCCTCTATCATTCTGATCTACATACTACCAGTTGTGAGCTCAGCATTATAACCAGTTGATTTCCCTCTAGAGAACAGCACACTAAAAAGAGCACTGCAGACGGGTGGGGGGGAAACCACAGTAAAATATACTTTGGAAATTGTTGTTTCCTGTTGAACATGCAGAGCCAAAGGCAAGCTGTCACTGAGCGCCTGCCTTGCTCACTGAAATCTGCGGGTTCATCCTCAGTGTCAGATGATTTTGAGACCAATTTGTCCAAAAAGACATGATCAGATACTTTGGCTGATAAACAGAAACTATCAGGGCATACAGACACAGATGGTATCTATAGGCTGGCCCCAGAGGAAACAGGCAGACCCCTGACAGAGGACAGCCACCTGAGAGCGCTCTCTTTTCACTGGCATCAAGAGGATGATGACAGTTCTCAATCAGCATGCTCCCCTCCTCCCACAGTGCACGCTTACAGCTTTTATGTCTAAAAATGTTTTTACTGACTGTGTTGCTCTCAAGCAGCAAAACAACAGGGACTGCAAATGGCAGGGAACAGGCTCGAGTCAGCATATGTTCAAGGTTTCCAAAGGATATCACACTGAAGTTTTAGTCATTCACTGTGAGAACAGGCTGGCCAGGCAGGTAAAATACTTTCTTCAGTTTTCCCCCTAGTCATTAAAAGATTCCCATCAATTTTTATTTATTTATTTTTTAAACGCAGTTTAAATCCAGTTGATGACAGACTAGTCTGCAAAAGCAAGTTCACACTGTGATGACCTCCCTAACACATACAGAAACACGTAACATTTTAATAACATGTACAGGTCAGATCAAAGGGAGAGTAACACACAGTACACAGTCAGTCAAGTTCAAACAACTCTGTCTGTATCAGCTCTTCAGGACCAAAACCTTCCTTAGACCTGGCTATAAATAGTAAGCCAGGATATGAGTACACATGAATGAGGAGAATGGAGCCTAGAAGACAATGGAGTTAATTATCTCCAAATTCATCCTAGCATAGTCATTTCTCTAAAACAACAAAGAAAATGGATGTAATTTGAGTGTCTCTTTCTAAAGGAAAGATGGAAGGGGAGTTACAGAGACTATTAATCCTCTCTTGTAATGAAACTCATTTGCAACACTCATGCCTCAGAGGAAAGAGCCGGTCTAAAAGTGACTGACAATTAAAAGCTACAAAATCATGTTTGCAATTTAAATTACTTGAAAGAGTGACAGAATTGGGAGGTTGTGTGTTTTGGTTGTGAGTGGGAGGGTAGGCTTTTAGTTTGTTTTCAAATGTGAGAGACTGGAGGCATGGAAGACGTACAGACAAGACTACCTATGTGTGGGGACAAACGATGCTGGCCTGGCTTCCAGAGGCAGTGACACATGCTATACAGCCAAGCAAATGGAGTAAGCATAGATTTGACAGATGCAGGAACACAGCAACGCAGAGAAGAGGCAGAGTACATCCACCTTTGTCTAACAGCAGTGCGTCATTTGTCAGCATGCACCACTCCTATTTAAAGCCAAATAAAACTACAGCAATTATGGAAAAAATTCCCAAATATCTAGTAGTAACGCAACAAGGGAGACGAACACATGCCACGACACTACAAACACATACCTCTACAAACTGCATCATTATAAACCAGCATGATGAATGTGTTTGCAAGAAGCAGGCCTACACAAGCAAAATTTACCCCTCAAATTAATTTCTAGTTCTCAGCTCTCTGTAACACATACCTTTAGCTTTTTTCCCACCAAAACAACCAGCATCATCTTTCTTCTTCTTCTGAGAGCCTCCCATGCTTGCAGTCTGACTGGCATCCAGTTCTTGGTACCTATCAGCTCCGGGGACCTCTTTGTGGACATGATAGGAAAGGTTCCGCATGATGCACACGCAGTTCTCCACAGACTGTTACAGAGAAATTTATGTTATAACAAGTATTGCACCCTCTTATTTGCAAACCATTGTATTATACAGTGGAGGGTTTCTGGGAATTTAAAAAAAGCCCACCTGCCCCGTGAAAAGAATGTAGCTTTCAAGGAAGATTTAGTCACGAACCCTTAAATTAAGGTTTGTTCTTGTTCTAAAACCTATTTTATTCTTCCAGAAGTGAAGCGCTTCATAAATAGTACCCCTCCGAAATGAAAACTCTCTAATCAAAAATACCACCTGATATTACATAAAGAATACAATTCACCCAAAGATCAAACACACAGTGGAAAATGATCATAGAAGAATCTTATTTCAACACAAGCCTCTCTCCCACTCTTCCAACCTTTACAATCCACAAGAGGCCAATTTTAATAAATTTCCTCTGGGTCAAAATCTAGGCCTTGTGAGGATTTCAATGAGAACACACGTTGTCCTGTAGTAATAGCTAATCCACAGCACGTCAGGTTCTGACAAGAGCAATGCTCTGTGGACTGCAATGGAAACCACCAGGTGATTACAAAATCCACTTCCAAAATTATCTGATTAAATGACAGGGCTTTAGAATTCCCTTGCACAGTTCACCACATGGTGGGACTCAAAAGGAGTAAAATAATAATGCTTTACAAGCCTTACTGGTGTTATAAAGCAATAGTACGCTCTTTCTTTTTTAAACAGGTTAAACTTATGCTATTCCTTATGCATATAAATATGCTTTTAAGCACCACAGGATGAGACGATGATAAAAACAGATTAATCAAAATCTGCACCTAAAAAAAAAGCCATAATGAAAGTGCTGTAGGTCTGAAGACACATCTTAATGTGCAAGTTCTACAGTCTTTAGAGATGGTGCTGAATAAAGTCTGTAAAATGGGAACTGACTCTTTTGCTGGTATTCTGCAAAGCACAATACAACGGGACTCAATTCTGATTTGGAGGCTGCACTTGTAAATGTCAATTAAGTAATGCAGAACAGCAGCAATAATGTCACTGACAATAACAAAGGACTACTCTCCCCACCTATCACAACCACTTGCCTTTGCTCATCTCATCAGCCACACAAGGTAACATAGCAGCATCATGCTGATACCCCATCAGTAGTACCATGGATATCACGACAGAGATGAGAGGAGGACAGCTACTAAATTTTTTGAGGCAGGCATAATCCCCTTCTGATACTAGCAAATAGAAGTCAGATCCCAGTCCAACACTTCAACATAAATTAATGGAAACATCCATTAAGCTTGAACTTAAGTTCACCTTATTGTCTGTATCCTTCTTGCCAACTGCAGACTGTAGAGCATGAAGGAGGGCATCCACCAAGCCATCACACTCTCTCAGTCTTCTGCGTGCTTCTGCTCCATCCGAACTTACATTCCTAACAGGAGAGATTTAGAAGAAAATTTAGCCCTCTAACTTTGACCGTAAAATTGAAGGTGTGTCATTTCATACTACAATTATTAAAAAGCTCATTACGTTGGATGAACAATTTAGAGCCAAGGTAGTCTGAAAAACCTACTAAATCTCAGTAAAATATGGGCAATGCCCATCTGCAACTCCCTAAATCTGAACGAAAAGGGGAACATAGTCGCAGAGGTGCCTGTGACTTTTTTCAAAACACATTTTTCCGAGTGGCTGGCTAGTCCAGTGATATACCTTAAAGTGGACAGGCATTTTCAGAGCAAACAATACTCAAACTAAAAATTTAATTTCAAAGCCAGAACTTTTAAGCTGAAAAATACTTTCACCACCTAAAGAAAAACATGCAAACTCCTTAAGACTGCTCAGCAGCATTCATAGCCACACAAATTGGAAAATGAAAAAGATTAAAAACAGGTGTACAATAAGCTATATTATATGTAACCAATCTGTATATAAAATTGTTCTTCACTTTCTTTGGCCCCCATCTGCTCCAAATAAGTCGGGTGGGAGTCAGCATGTACAACTGCTGCCTCCTTGACTGCTCAAAGTGTAGACTGAGTACAACCATATGATTGGGTTAATGTCTAGATAGCGGTGACACTGTTTAATTTAGATCTGATTACTTTGTATGCCTTACTAATCACCCACCTCCAGAGGAGGGATTCATAAGAGGGTCTTCAAGGAGACATCTTGTTACAAGGAAGATAACAAGGATAGAAGAACACTACTGGCCGGAAATCACCAAAGAGCCACAGTAACTGGGGTAAAGTTAAAGGCTGCAGGGGGAGATCACGACCACCAACTCAATTGAGGGTCTATGCAAATTGCCCCCCCACACCTGTAAAGAGCATGTGTGCTAATTTACATGGCAAGCAAAGCTAATTTAAATATAACAAGCCAATAGCAAGCGATATGGTGATCACTAACCAATGAATGTAAATTTGGGCGGGTTTTCCATTATTTCTGCTAATCATGTAACAGGATAAATACGTTTTAATTCCTTCGTGTGGTACGCTAGCTTTGTGGAATTATCCCCTAGCACCCATCTTTGTGCAAACATGAAATAAACAAACATCTCTGCTCTGGGTGTAACATTGGCTTATTGCACACCGGACCCCGTTTGAGGGACAACAAAAAGGTTCTCCAAATCTGTTCTGTATCCCCAGCTTTCTGACTGGAAGTTACTGCCACCCAGTTTAAATCCCACGTTTTGATATCTAAAGCCCACCTTTTATACTGTGTACAGCAGATTCAGCACAAAGCCTGGATCAGTCACATTTAGAAAGTAAAAGATGACAGTCAGTATGTTTATATGGCTTTAAATTTCTCGAAGTATTGCACAAGAGAATGGCACAGGTAGAAGACGCAAGACAGAGCAATGAAAGGCTACTCGGAGTTGTTGAAGTTGCATGTATATCAATGACTGCAGAAATTGTTAGAGGGGAGCTATGAACTTAGCCTCACTTGGTCCAGTGAGCATGCACACTACATACTGAAGCCCAGCCTTGCATAAGCATCAACCTGCCATGACCCAATAAATAAATAAAATTCAAGTAAATTTTCCAAATGCTGCCTTTTTTTCCTCCCCTCTTTTTTTAAAATGTTATTTTTCTTTTTTGGAGGGGAATGAAGTGACAAAACGATTCTTAATAGTGCTTTGCTGGTGAAACCTATAAGGGAAGTTTTGCCAAAGCTGGAATGTACTAACTTCAGCAATAACAGAGCCAACCTTTCAGCTTTCAGGGTCTTTGAATTCCACAAACCTGTGTAAGGTTAGCTCTCAAAAGCTCGGGACACAGTCATTACCTTCTGCTATCAGGACCGTGCAGCCAACTTTCTTTTTAACTAACTAGAGGGACTGCCAATCTCCAAATAATTAACAAATCAATCATGGTCCCCTCCCATGTCCCCCCATCACCCAGGCAGGCTGGTATGTTAATTGGATGACTAGGAAAAAAAACGCATTTTCTCAGAGACCTCCCAAGTCTGAAGACACTTAATTGTGAGCTGGTTGCTGTAACAGCACATTAACTTTCAATTAAGAACACAAATGAAATGCACAGATAAATGAATCCTTTCCCCAAATCCTAACACACAGCCTCACCTCCAGCAATGACTGATACAAGGCAGGTAAAGTGGCTATTAAAATATGATTCCACAGGATATATGGAAGAGAGAATTCTACATGCTGTTTTTCCATCTCCAGTTACACTAATCCTTTCATATCAAAAGCCCAAATGTGAATTTTAATGTAAAGTCTTTATGAAACTGAAATTAGAATTCAAATTCTCCGTGATACCTTTCAGGAGTTATAACAATAAATGATAACAGCTCCACCTCCAAGCACAAATGTTAAAGTGGAACATTACTTACTAAGCTTGAGGGTGACAGAAATGCACTAAAAATGGTCTTATCTGGAGCTGTGTATCACATTTCTTATTCCCTCATTAAGTCTTAGAAATAGAGAGCTAAAATACATATGGAACATTTGCAGACTTCAAAGAAGAAATAAATCAAATTGAAAAAAAAAAGTCCTTCACACCTTTCTTGCCCGATGGCCCATTCATAAGAGATTTCTATGGTCCGTTTGTGCTACCATATTGTAGCCCATTTGTTTTACTGCTTTGGTTATCAACAGCATCACAATATTTTGTATCCTGCTTTCTTATTTCTTGATCTGTATTAGGAATAAGGTAGACATTGATAAGGTTATAATTGAAAAAGATACTATAAAAGTGCATCAGTAGGAGTGTGGCTTGCTGATATCACTTGCTCTATCTTCAACTGTAGAAAAATTTACTGAAAATTAATGCCTCAAGAAAAAATTCCCACATATATCACCCATAAATAAGCATGAAAACTCTGCAGGATCAAATTAATAGCTAATTAATGCTATGAATAAGTTATGCAGACATCAAACTTTGCAGTTTTAATGTTGTAGCTAACACATCAGAAAATGTATTCTTATGACCTTATGAGGATGTCATGCAGAAACATCTGCTCTATAAATACCCAACGCTCGAGATTCTGCCTAGTCCTCCATCCTTGGGCAATGAGATTGCTGCAGCCCATGGGCTTTATCTAACATGGAACAACAAAACCTGTAACTATAACCCAGACCTACTGGAGAGCTCAGATCACGTTCTTCTCCACAGAGTCTAGGCAACAAAAATCTCCGAAAAACTAAGCACAGAGAGCAGCACCGGCTTCACAGAGTCTGCTCTTTCTGCTGCTCCAACACTGCAAGAGGCAGCGAAGATCTCCCAATTCCCATGGGAACATTTACATTTCAGATACACGCACTAGTATGCCAAACACCCGTAAGTACAGGCGGGCATGGTGAAAACGAAGACAGTATGCTTTGAGTAAGTTCTCATCTGGCAATCCCAGGAGATGCTTTCCATGATCCAGAGCAACCTTCAAAAGCTCCTGCAACCCAGGAAAATGCCAGGTTGCACTCCTGCCTCGGGGTGTTAAGACTCTATACTATCTACCTCCTTGAAAAACATCAGCTGGTAAGTTATTAGTGAAATTCACATCTTAGGTCTTCAGGAGGGACTGTAGCATGGAGACAAAAGTGATTGCATGGATGAGAGACCTAGTGCTAGTATTGGTCATTAAAAAGGACAGAAATTGCAATGGTACAGCCAACCTGATATCACACTCTACTGACCAGAGTCAGGAAAAATCTCTTCCAATTTCACATCTGCACCGCAATTGTTCTTGACCCACCTTACACACCTATTACGTGTTATGGAATGAAGGATGTAACTTAGTCATGCTCCAAAGGAACCTTTCAAAGCAAAGTTTCTAAACATCCTTCTTTCAAGAGTGATGAAAATCAACAAATAGACAATAGATTCCAGCAGACACTAACAGAGGATTTGTAGTCGTCTGACACGGGGTGACACTTCACAGAAGGAATGCAAAGCCTCGCCCAGGGCAGAAACTTCCTGAAACTCATGCAACAGATAGATATGCAGCATATGGCATCCAGACTTGGATAAAGTAGAGAGTTTTGCTTTTCACTGAACTTTTCTACACATTAGACAAGCATTATGTTATATCAGAAGAAAATTAATTCTTCAGTTGGTGGAGTGTTTGATACAAGACACTGAATAGAAAAGGAAGCCAAAACCCTAGCTGAGGTGCTTGTTAGCGCCGTTACTTAGGAGCTAGGCTGCCATGCAACAACCCGAATGGCCCAAAGATTTTGGAATTAAACACATGATCTCAGTGAATTGCTTGCTGGGGCAGTTTAATATCAAGAACCTCTACAGATGAAGTCAAAGATACTTTTAAAGTTTGAACAACTTGAAACAGTAACTCTGCAGGGCTTTTGAGGCACTGATGATGGGCAAAATCCTGTTACAAATGAAAATAAAAGTTGACTGCCTGTTCAAACGGATGGGAGGAACTACCTGAACTAATTTTACACAAAACCGTGACAAATGACACCTGCCATTGATCTCTGGTGTTCTGTAAAGTCTGCTTCCCTTGTCTCATCTCTTCACCCCCAGAGAGGCCTCTGCTGCCTTCCCTGGCTTTCCCTGCTTTTCAATACTTTTCCAAGAGTCTATTAAATGAAAAATGTATTTTAAAAACAACAATAGTATCTCCCTCACATCACACTTCAAAGGCTAACAGAAAGCTTCACAGTGTGCTTACCGTAAATAACATGCAACACACTCAAAAGAGCAATTCTAGGAGCAAGACATGGAATACTCAAATTACATAGGAAGGAAACCAACTGTATGACTGATTTTATGGAGAACAGTAAAGCACAAATCTCATTCCAGAGACTTTAAATCCACAGCCTTTAGCTGGAAAAAGCAACCTGGATTCTTCCTCAAATTCTTGGAGTCCAGACTGTATACAGGACTAGTGAAAGAGGATTTGTAAGGATGTTTAAATATATGCTTTCCCTGGGAAAACAAAACAGAGAAGCACTAAGTA